CCCCAAAACCCCAAAACCCCAAAACCCCATATGTGCTAATATTTATTTGATGTCTCTCGGAAATATTATGCTTAAATTAATTGAATAACTATTCATTGTAATTTTTATGAAATGAACGGGAATCATAAAGTTTTAGAATTGTCGTCCAACTCTACACAACACATTCCAAGAAATATACATACAACCTAAAATTCTCCTGTCCCAAGACTTCAACTTAACCCTAGCGTATTAAATCCAAATTATGAAGCACATATATTTAGTCAAAAACAATTTTCTAGTAATCATGACAATGAAAAGTCTCATTCATCTAATATTACTTCATATAAAGACCAGCATCACAATAAGTCTTTATCAGATATCTAAAACTCTAATGCTCTATTTACAAAATCAAAAGAGCTTTTGAATGGAAACAATAGATATGCTCTATCAAAAAGCAGAGATTAGCTGGTTAGAAGGAATAAGTCAAATCGAATACAGCTATAACTCGCTTAAGCTAATCAAAATGGACAGCAGAAACTGTAATTAAATTCTAATCAATCTAACTAATTCTTTAATGCAAGAAACATGAATAATTTAAAAACGCCACAAGACAATACACAGGCTCTGCTAAACCAATCTCAAAATTCCTTTGTTATTTAACCTAACTCCTTAAATCATGATGCCTCATTTGCCTATCAGCAGAGTGCTGGTTTTATCTCGCCAGCAAACAATGATTATAAAACTCCATTTGTTGAAAGCAATTTAATAATCTCAAGCAACTATGAATACTAGATTCCACCTCCTAAAACAGCATAGACAACCTAATTCTCAATGGCAGATTAATCAAGTCTGCAGAACTAGGACAACAATAAAATTGTAAATCTTGATGACTATTTCCGCAATAGAGACTAATAGCAGCAGTAATAGAAAGAGAATGGCAATTAAAACCAGACATAATATAAAAATCTGATGATGTCCAATGTAAGCTAGCAATAAGAGTGATCATAAGCACTATCCTCTCTTTTTAAAGCTAGAAGGTTCAGTGGTGCTGGTGATTAAATAAGTGGAAAGAATAGGGCTGTAACAGCTGGAGGTCCTACAATGAATAAACTTGGACGAGATATGTCTAACATGCGAGCAGCATAAAAAACTTAGCCTGATAGCTAGAATCTATATATAGCAGCAAGATCATAAGTTCACACTAGCTATGGAAACCATACCAACTACAATATTTAAAAAAACCAATCAATGCCTGAAATCACTCCAGAGTTAGCGGCTACTGTTGTTAGAGATTTTCTCCTGCCTATGTTTTAAAATGATGGTAAGAAACTAATCAGAAAGAAGAGAAGAGATATGATCTCCTCTCCTAAAACCCTAAAACAATCTTTAAAAGCAAGTGAATACTAATCTGACCCACTGGAGCTAACTTAGTTAAATCAACTCTTAAACGAAGATATTCATGATAAAAAGTCGAAACTAGGTGGAACAACTAGTGTTTTCCACGAATTAAAGCTTTCTGAGCAACTTATGAATGAAATATACGGTCTGAGGAATGACATAGACAATCTTTAGATATAAAAAGAGGAGATGTAAATATTTATCAATAGATTGTAGACCGGAAATAATGATCTTTCTCATAAGATAAATTTGTATGGTAAAAAATACAAAACAATCAAGCAAAGATTTGTGACAGTAGCGTAGGATTTGAGAAATGAGAAAATGCTTTGCAAGAGATTGTAGAATTCAATGCAAGAGATGAATAATCTTTTTAAGATCAATGAGTAGCAGAGAAAAACTATAAGTCAATGCTGCAATGACACAAGAATCTAAAATGAAAAATTAAACAATAGAGTGATCGAATTAAAGTAGTTATTAGCCATTGTTAGAATGGAGAATAACATAATGGGTGATTAACTTAAGCTGCTACACAACTCATTTAGTAACATAGGAGATTGTGAAAAGATTCAGAACAAATGCAATTTTGAACTCAGCAGAGGTTATGAGCTCAATGAAGAAAGAATAAATGAGCTAAATGAAATATAAGTTGAACTCTCAAAAGCCCTTGAAGAAAATACTGAAATAAGATCAATTATGAGAGATCTCAATGCAAATAAGAAAAAACTAATCGAAGACAAGGAGAAGTTCCTTCATTTTTTCAAAGAGAAAATGAACTAGATGGAAACTGAGCTCAACGAGAGTAAAACTTCCAAAGAATAAATTAAGGAGGAATTCACCAAGCTAGAGAAGCTATTGATAAGCGTTACCAATGAAAGAGAAAAGCTCAAAATAAAAATATAGAAGCTGAAGAATAGGAGAGCGGTTGATCTAGACTAGAAGATTTGTAAGAACTGTGGGAAGGAGTACTTATAGAATGAAAATTTCAACTGGTCTTGTAGAACTCATAGAAGTGATTGGGGTGGAGAGATGTGGTGGTGCTGTGGTAAAACCAAAAAAGAGGCACCAGGGTGTAAGTATGCAAAGCATGAGACAAAAGATGATGAAGAGGAGGAAAAGACGCATGATCAAGAGGATAAGAGCAGAATTAAATAACTAAAGTGTATCTGTTGCAAAGAAGCTGGTCACTTAGCTAAGGATTGTATGAGGGATCCAAATTTAAGAACTAACTAAAATATTTAAGAAGAACTTCTAAGGATAGATAAATATAAAGAATATAAAAAGCTAAATGCTGATACTTTTTAAAACACGACAAAACTCTTCGAGATGCTTGCAAGGGAAAAGATGCCTGTAATATACGAAGAAACTATTTCAAGTGACAATGGAATGGGATCAAGGTTAGGCGATGAAACAGCAACTAATAAGCCAGTCATAACATAATAGTAGAGTCATATCAATTCCCAGAATGAATAAGATGATGATGATGGAGATGGATTGGACCTTGGAACAGAAAAGAAAAAACGAAAGAAGAGAATATATAAAGAGACTTCTTTTAAGGGCTATGGACTGATGAAATTTGATGACTTTAACTATAACGCTTTTAATTAGATCGTATTTCAAATGAGCAAAAAAAACAATTTAGACAAAAGTGGAAATAGTCCAAGTTTTAGAGCAGGAGCAGAGCAGTTAAGATCGAACGAAGATGAGGATTAAGATTAAGTTAATGAAGATCATAGAAAATTGTCAGCCCCAAAGCTAAGTGATTTGAATAATAATAATGATAATAAAGACTTTGGCTCTGGAAGTAACGTTATTGAGGGTGAAGAAAGACATGCTGGAATATAGAAAGGGATCTCATTTAATAAGAGACTGTATTCTTAAGATGAAGTCTATTAGATAAAAAATTATTAGACCAGAGATATGTATGAAGATATTTTAGACTTGAAGAATATGGCTCTCATTGAAAATATGAAGTAAAAGAATTTAATAGATATTGATGCTCATTACAAAACATAGCTAGAGTTATTAAGCAAATAAAAAGGAAAAGGAGCATAATCTAAAAGATCTGGACAAACTAGATCTGTTGCAAGGCAGTCAGATGATACCTCTCAGCTCTTTTCCTCTTTTAATAAAGATAATGAGTCGCCAAATTAACTCGCAGGAGGAAAACAAGGAAACCAATCTTTGGCAAATCTAAATAGTCTGAGAGTTAATTCAAGCAGACCAAAACTCTCAGCTAGCTCTAAAAAGAGCATATTCTTTAATAATCTGCCCCCTGAGTATAGGGATATGTCAACAACATAAATCTTGAATTCACCTGTCGGACGTGCTTACTAGCAAGTAATGAAGCAAGAATAAGAAAAAGGCACTTTATCAGATCAAGACGAATAATTGGTAATAAAATCAAATAGTAGTAGCAACGGGCCTGCCACAGGAAGTGCTAATGCAGCTAATATTTAGGCAGCAATAGCAGTAGGAAATGGTCAAAATTAAATTGCTACTTAGCAGATTATGAACTCAGCGTTTGAATTAAGAGTAAAGAATATGAATTAAGTATAATAAAGCAAAGTCTAACTTCAAGATGTGGACATTTAGCAGATATAAAAAGAAAGGTAAAGCAAAAAGCTACAATAAATAACAAAAAATCTCAAAGAAGCAGATTAAGTAGTGATTGAAAGAAGTAATACAAATCCATTGAATTAGATGCCAAATCAAATATAGGTAGTTTCATCTGGTGCAGGTGGAGAGAAGAAAATACTTGTAGAAAATTTAGATAAAAGTTTATCACCACTTAAAAAGAATAATTCCATGATCCCGGGAGCACAGCTTGAATCACCTTTACTCTAATCCCCTACATTTAGTGGTAGTGGAGCTGGAGCTGGTACAGGAGCAGTAGCAGCTGCTGGAACTGGGCAAGAAGGTAAACAATCTGGAAGATTATAATCAAGAAGAACAATGGAAAAAAAATAATCTGTTTAAAAGAGTCCTGCTAGTGCAACTTCTAAGTAAAATTAAAATTCTACTCCTAGAAAATCGAAATTGTAAAGACTTATCGAAGATAAATAGAAGTATACATAAATTGAAACTATGATTAAGAATGCTCCATCGGACCCAAATCAAAGTCAAGGTGGAGATCAAATAAGGAAAACTCTCTCAGGTGGAAGAAAGCAGTCCAGTGCTAGCATCCATTCCAACTCTAAAGTCATAGTGAATCCATAAAGTATAAAAAAGAAGATCAAAAGCGACAGCATGAGCTTAAATGATACCAATAGTTAGGCTCTTCTCAATTCAACCTAGTTATCTAAGAATAATGCACCAATTGAAGAAACAAAATAATAAAGGGTAACTCCAAATATTGAGGTTAGACAGCTATCTTAAACCAAGACTTAATTGAAAGATACCTAATCTACTGAATAAAGTCTGAGAGAACTTTAGAAAAGTTCCAGAAAATCAAGTCAGTAAAAGCCAAAGGTTTCAATAAGTGAAGGGAAATAGTAAAATCTAGGATTCAATGACCTCTCTAAGGATGCTCTTGAGTCCTAAAAACAAAGAGAGGATCAAAAGAAAAAGAAATCTGTTAATATCGACAAAAGCACTACTAGGTAATGATGAAAATTTTATTAAATTGATCTTTGGTTAAAATGAATTAGATTCTGAGATCTAAATAGAAATAGTTGATCCATGCTGTAATTTCGAATGCATAGATTGATTAATTATAATTATGGTTAAATAATGTTTGATATTTAATTTCTTAATTTTTTCACACAACTAATTCGACTTATCGGGGTTTTGGGGTTTTGGGGCCTTCGTTTTGAGGCTATTTCTCTTCTTCATAAA